GAAGGATTGGTGCACCCGCCAGCAATCTACGCATCGGAACGAGAGGAGGAACGAAGCATTCCGGCTGAAGCCCAGCGTATGCATTTCCATCGCGTACTCGCACTTCACTTGTGTCCTCGATGTAAGAATAATAAAGAGATATATTCGTTGTTGTTTTTATGATTTTAATGCCGCCGGACATCATCGTCTTCTAATATTGGGGTGTGGGGTCAAGAATATCGTCTCGTAATCATATAATCACTTACAACTGTTTACTAAAAAGTACAACATACTGCTGAAAAACCAGTTGATTCCTATTTTGTTATTTTATGCATTTTTCACGGATAAAACGTGTACCTGCTTTATATATATGCCACCCCGCTACTTTTTGGGCTTGGAAATTTCGGAAAAAAAGGGTGGCTTGTACATGGGGAAATACGGTAAGATAGAGCCGGATAGTGTTCTTGCTTCAGTGTTAACGTGAGACTTTTACAAGAATGACACCCAGCTCTGATGATGTCCATCAAATGATGGACGAAAGCTCAGTACGTTTTCACCCGAAACGAGGGAGGAAGTCTCGTGGACTGCGTCAATCGCAACGTGGTATGAAAGCCAAAAGGCTGCAACACAACGGGATTCAACCGTCCTATTCTGGTGAGATCAGCTTTCGAATCTCTTCTTCATACACTTTTATACGAAATGAATGACCCAACAAGCCAACGAGTCAAGAAATCCCTATAAAACGGTATATATACTCTACATTTGGCCTCGTTGATCAGGTATAAAGTGATTTGATAGACGTTGCTTTACTTGGTCATATTGATAGGAAGACCTAGAGGAATGCAACTTGTCCTGAGTCCATTGTATGCATAATCATTTCCAAAGTCGGACCGTGGATGTGGTACATCGTCACTGAGTCTCACCATTCGTAGCACCACACAACAACTCGTCAAAGAGACAAGTGAAGCCGATACTTTGACCAAACGTGTTCTAAACAGTTGCGGTATCTCCCCTTCTAGAGGAGTCTTATCATAGTCTCTCTCTTGTCCTGTAGAATCCGTCTGCTATCGTCCTGGTTCAAGTATTTCGTTCGACCTCTGCCACCCAATCTGCGCTACTCGAGGCGTTATTGCCCACAAGCCTTTGCTACATGCACCCCGTATATGGTACAACAGACCTATTGTCAGCCAACTGGATCCAGTCTCCGCCGCGTCTATCCTGTTTCTATGCCTAATACCAAGTCTATGACTTCCTATGCTCCAGTCTCTTGTGTGCCAACCCACAAATGTTGTGGTACTGCTTGCTTTGATTAGGTTCAATGTTGAACCACAATGGTTTGGGATTGTCATAGACTTGGTATTATAGATAGAAAGAGGATAGAAACAGTGCAAGCTAGAGCTAGTTGGCTAACAATAGTCGTGATTCAAGGATCATGTTTATGATCAAACATGTCTATTGTTAGCTTTAGTCTTTCCTGTTTCTATCTGTAATACCATGTCCATTACTTCCTACGTCCTAGTCTCTTGTATGCCAACCTACAATTGTCGTGGTTCTACTTGTTTTTTGATTGGGCTCACCCAAGACTTGTCCTCTTTGCTTCTGATCGTTCCTTTCTCATCCCCCTGCGATCTCTTTTACTAAAATTATTGATATTACCTCGTTCCAGTCGTCTTCTTTTTGCTGATCTTATTGTTGCCTGGTCTTCTCCGAGTTTGTTTAGGCAATATGTAAAGTTTTGGCTAATCCTGCCTTCTTCAAGACTCCTGTTCATAAGATCTCTCTCGGTCAGCATTTCGATGGTCTTTCGGTTCTTGTGATTTCTTGTATCTTCACCACATGCAATGTGTTCCGCTATTTCTGATCTTTCTATATCCATGTTCCTGCAGAGTTTTTGATGTTCCTTGATTCGTAGACCGATTTTTCTTCCTGTTTCACCGATATACTTCTGCTCACAGTTGCCGCATTCGATGCGATAAACTCCCGAACAGTCAAGTTTATCCGTCTTCTCGTGTTGCGTCGGCAGACTGGTGAAAAGTGTTGCCTTCTCCTTTGTTATCACCTTGATATTCCATTTTCTTAGTAACGGTCGAAATTATTGGCGCCATTACTACAGACTGAAGATCGTAATACTGAGGAGTTTGATCATCAGAAGCTTACGACTGAAGAACAATGAATTCTGGGACCAGAAGTTGAATAAACTGACACGGATTTGCCTTAGTAACGGGTACCCCAGAGCATTTATAGGAAAAAATGTAGAGGTTATAAAGGGCCGAATTCAACTGGGATTTTATGAAAATCAGATCAGGAATTAGGATGACAACCAAAAGTAGATTTGTCTTCCCTCATTACAACTCAGCCAACAATTGCGACCGTTACTGCGGAAATGGAATATCATGGTGATAACAAAGAAGAAAAAAAACACTTTCCACCAGTCTGCCGACGCAACACGAGACAGTAGGTCTGTTGTACCAAAGAAGTTGTCCATGAATCAAAGAGAGAACAGACGGATCTTACGGGGCAAGAGAGAGACTGTGATAAGACCTATGGAAGGAGGAGTTTGCAGGGTTCTCATGAATGCCGCTCGAAGGAGCACACCACACGACATCGAAATAAGAACGGTACAAATTGTAACAGTGAAGGTGTGAATAGGAGGAAATAGGAAATGTGAATAGGCCAGGGCAGAAGGGGCGATACGACAACTGTTTAGCACAGGTTTGGTCAACGGATTGGCTTCACTTGTCGCTTTGACGAGTTGTTGTGTGGTGCCAAGAATCACAAAAAACTCACTGACGATGCCGGCGAAACGTTTGGGAATGTACCACGTCCACGGTCTGAGTTTGCAACTGATCATGCAGACAATGAACTCCGGACTAGGTGCATTCCTCTAAGTCTTCCTACCAACGAGACCAAGTTGCAAATACAAAGTCAAACATCTTCTATACAACAAAAGGAGACTGCGAGCACACACAAAAAGCAACACCATCTTGGTCTGCCTACCTTCGATAAAGTGATTTATTTATTTATTTACAGTCATATGTCAACCTCGAAACCTGTCTACGTGTCTGTTTGTGTTCGCTTCTCCACGAAGCCGGCAGTGATGGCTCAGAGTAATTAGGACAGCGAAAGTGACGTCTCTTTTCGGCCATCAAGGTTTGATGTCAACTATCTACTCCTTTCTAAATACACATGACAACCATCACTCCGATTGCGCAACGCCCGACACTCGTCTAGTTGTGTTGATGACTCTTTCTACCGGAATCGAAGCAGATTGCCTAGGAAACAGCGTCAGCATGAATGTTGCAATAAAGCCAATCGACAGATGGTCACGAGGAATCCACCGTCGTCTGCTCGTGGAATTGACCTTCGAATCTCTTCCCCAAACACTTTCACTCGAAATGGAAGTTGGCTCAACGTGCTAATGCCTTGTTCGGCCTTAAAGACGCCGTGCAGCTCCATTTTACAGTCGTTAAATCGCTTTAGGTGACCTGACTTTGTCAAGTTATCCTCTCCATCTTTAGTCCCCCAACAGTCCGAAAGACGACTGGGCATTGGGGACCCATTGACGACCCCATTCGAGACGGCATCATAACGACAATTTCACAAATGTCCCGGCGTCGGAGGCTGCAGGCTCTGTTGGACGGTCTGAAAAGGCTTCAGCTAACGTTTACTCGACGCAAATGATGCTATTGCATGACTGGCAGTCAATGCAAAATGAATAAACATGCCGCAAAGTAGAGTCACGTTGGCGGCTCTTGTTACAGCCCTCAATTAAACGAGCCACTGAAAGGCTCTGGCAGCAAATAAATGTTTCATTTATAAGTAGACCTTTGATACTACTAGCTATGCGTCTCGTAATGCAAATAAATTTGTTTTCAAATAAAATAACCTGCACCGGGAACCGTAATGCAAAACAGGCATGCACCAGATGACGATTGATTGGCTGTAAAACTAGACTGGTCGATAAAATTCGCTCTTTTGATTGGCTGCCTTCAGCCTATCCGGCCTAAGGACAAATGCATTCTTACCGATGATTGGCTGGAAGGGACTGCAGCCATTTAGGCAGTCTTAAATTTACAGGCTTTAACATGTGCTCACATTGCAACGGCGTGTTTGGCATATTTTGCCTCAGTTTACTTTCGTACTGACGGCGCCCGCGTTTGGTCGCTCGCAATTCTGCGCCATGGAGACAAGTAGGTGAACTCTCTCTCCTCGCTGCAGCCCCTCTTCTCCTTCTCCTCCTCCTCCTTCTCTTAATGTTGCTTCTTTTACAGCCAGGCTCATGTTCAGTTCTCGCCTGGCCGTCTCCCTTGTTATGTTCTTCGGCACCTTGTGTCTCTACTCTCAGAGATCCAATCTGAGTGTGGCCATCATATGCATGACAAACAACTCCGCGGTGGCTGGCTTGATCGACACCGAGAAAAACGCATCCCCACCGGTGCCGCCGAGTGAGGCTGACCGAGAAATCGTCGCTTCGGACCGTTGCCCGGAAAATGACACCCAGTCGAGTGGAGTTAGTGACATTTTGAACTTGTTTATTTGCTATTTGACCACCGGCCGGATCGTCGGTGGGCACCGATCACCTTGACGACGGCTGTCCGCCAAGTCGAGAAATGTAGTCTCGCCTTGCTCGAGCCGACCTGTAGACAGCCCACTGGTTCGTGCAACTTTCGACACCGGCTACCGAGACCGAGTCGCTTGACAACGGTTGTCAGGGTGTAAAGTCGCTTTTGGGCAAACCCTTCGAGTCGAGGGGGGAAAAACCTTTGATTAGGTCGCGGTATTTAGCTTTACTTTAGCCACGCTCTCACGACTTGGTCGCGTTGTCATGGCCAGCTCATCTGACCTCCTCTGAATGGTAGTCGTGGTTGAGCGGACTTTGCTTTTGGGTGAATGCGTCTATGACGAAGCGATTTGAAGGTCGAATCCTCCAGAAGAGGAGCGTGAATTCTTCTTGAGCACGTTTCGTCGCCCTCCTAGTCAGCAGCATCATCGGCCCTTGCCGCTCTTGGCGTCAAGTTTTAACATACGAAGAAAATGCGGCTTACCAAAAACCGCCTGCGATAGTGGTTGTTTGACCTTGTTTTCGCAACTTGGTCATATTTTGGTAGGAAGACTTAGAGGAACGCACCTCGTTCGGGGTCCATTGTCTGCATGATCATTTCCGAAGTTGAACCGTCGACGTGGTACATTCCCAAACGTTTCGCCGGCATCGTCAGTGAGTATCGCCATCCTAAGCAC